ATCATTTTCCCAAAAATTCTCAAAAAATTGCTCCAGTGATTTTCTTTTGCTCGCAACTTGGATAACACCAAATCAGTCAAATATATAATTACCTCCCTGGTTTCTCACACAGAATGGCAAAAATTTTATGTTCAACAGCAATCACTCTTATATATCCCCTTCCCACCCCAAGCCTATTTGATCGCTATCTACTTTGTCTCCATGGGCACCAATTTCTGAGCCGGGCATGGTGGCGCACCACACACCTGTAATCCCAGCACTCGGGAGGCTGAGGTAGGAGGGTCACCATGAGTTTGAGGTCAGCCTGGGCTACATAGTGAGTTTAAGGCTACCCTGAACTACATGGCAAGACCTTGTTCTCAACAAAAATTAAAAAGATAATCATATAATCCATGGTCTTTTACTAGTGGCTTCTCCACTTGACCATAAACATGAGGCTTCTCTTCTGGTCTTCTGCACAAGCCTATCTGTATCTGTCTATCCAGAACCGTGCTACCTTCATTGTTAAGCTTTTGTGTGAGCTTCTAAAAGGAAAAGTGACTCCTCCAACTTGGTTTTGCTTCAAGGATTTCTGCTGTTGAGAATGTGATGACACCGTCTCGATTCTATGTAAATAGCTTTTTCAAATCTCTTAGCATTTTCTATGTTTTATTACTATTTTAAGATTTCCTGATGAAATGCTTTAACACAGGGTCAGTTCTCAGGGCTGGGGGTACAACTTGATGGCAATGTAACTGCCCTAGCATGCATGTGTAAGGCCAAAGCAGCAACCTCCGACATCACAAAAAATAAACATAAATAACATGTAAATAAATATTAAAAACCCAATTTTCTTCCTGGCTGTACTTAGGGATTCTTTATCAATCTTTTCTTTCCTTTTTACAAACAACTCCTTTAGCAACATTTATTTACTTAGTTATCCTGGGGGCTGAACCCAGGGCCTTGTGCATACTTAGAAAAGCACAATCACTGAGGGCTCTACCCCCAGCCTGCTCACCTTTTTTGTTTCGAGTATTTGCACTGATTTGATTCCAAGAAGTTTTCTGATCTTTTTTTGATCTCTATTTCTGGAACGATATATTAACTGATCTTTTCTCTAATGTATCCTTATTAGATACTAGACCTGGGCAAAATGGATATTATTTTTCTCTTTAGCTCTAGGATTTCTAAACTTTGTGGTCTAAATTTGTCATTGCTGCATTTATATATCCAATCTCAAAAAATATATCCCTTTCCCTCCTTGTTTTACGTACGCATGCTTGTATTCGTTTGAAGGCATTTTGTACACTTGCATATTCTGATCTTTCATGCTAGAGGCTTCCATCCTTGACTACTACACTTACATTTGAAATGCAATGCAAAAATACTCTCCTAAGAGCTCTGTGAATAAAGGTCACACTTTCACCAAGCCATTTATCAGAGGACCTGCTCATATTTTTTTTTTTTTTTTTTTTTTTTTTTTTTTT